CCCCCTCACAATGACTCAGCAACCCCTCCTGCTGATGGCCCCAGCATGTCCTCCTACAGAGAGACGGATGGAGCCCAGGCCACCCAGCCCTCCATGCCCCAGGCACTGACCAGCCCAGGCTGGGTGGGGTGGGTGCAGGGCATAGGCAGGGCCTGTGCATCCACACAGAGCCCCGGGAGCAAGGGGAAGACAAACTAAGATGTACTGCCAGACGTCCTAGGAACAAGTGCCCACACGGATAGGTGGCATCAGGGCTGCCATGGGTGCCGTGACACTCAGCCCTGACATGGCTGAGCAGTACTTGGGCTGAGGGCTCCTTGAAAGAGTCCAGGAGGGTGCAGGTCAGGCCTGGGCCCTGAGAATGGGGTAGGGTCTGAGGTCCTCCCAGCCCAGGCCCCTCTCAGGACAGAAATCCTCTGCCCAGGGCACAATGCTGTTCACCAACCTGTCATCGGTGCTGAAGGACGAGGCCGTCTGGGAGAAGCCCTTCCGCTTCCACCCGGGACACTTCCTGGACGCCCAGGGCCGCTTCATGAAGCAGGAGGCCTTCATGCCTTTCTCCGCAGGTGCATGGGGTGCCCGGCTCCTGGCCCTGGCCCTGGGGACAGTGGGAGGATGCAGCCCAGGCTCACTGAGCCCCTGACCCCCCACAGGCCGCCGCGCGTGCCTTGGGGAGCCCCTGGCCCGCATGGAGCTCTTCCTCTTCTTCACCTGCCTGCTGCAGCGCTTCAGCTTCTCGGTGCCCGCGGGACAGCCCCGGCCCAGCGACCACGGCATCTTTGCTTCCCTGGTGACCCCGGCCCCCTACCAGCTGTGTGCTATGGCCCGCTAGTGGGGGCACCGAGTCCCCAGCCCACCCCCAGCAGGGCCCTGATGCACAATAAAGCAGTCTCCTGGCTCCCCTGTGGTTTCTGAGTCCACCCTTGGCCCCTGGTGAGCCCCTGATGTCATGGGTGCTCAGCCACCCACCCCTGCCTCATCTGCCTTACCCGTCCTCTGGACTGCATATCAGACCTGGGACCCCGATGCTTAGCCTGCCACATCCTCCCATGAGCCTCACCCCCGTACTGTGTTGGTGACCACGGTCATGCAGCAGTCTTGGCTCTGGGTCTGGGGAGCAGGAGGAGGGTGCATGGGCGATGTGGGGCATCAGCCCTGGCCCTGGCTGGAGAGAGTGTTGGGGTCCCCAGACCTCCCTCAGGCTCTGTGATTGGCTGGAAGCCCCCCCAACCTGGAACACTGTTGTCCTCACTGCTGTGGTTTAGTATAACCACAGGACACAGACGCAAGTCAGCAACGGGAACAGGCGCACAGGGCCAGATCCACCAAGACCAGCCCCGAGCTTGCAGGCGGTCTCTCCCAGGATGCTCAGCGAGACAGGGCTCGGTGCTCCCAGCACTGATGTGTGGCAGATTTGTAGAGGGCTGAGGGCCAGGCAGCTCCCTGGGCTGTTTCCAGGGCTGTGCTGGGGATTGGTCACAAGGCTGAGCTCAGTGACACAGGCCCGCGATCACCATCGGTCACATCGTCAGCCTCGACTGTGGTGCGGTCCAGGTCGCAGGCACGAGAAGGCCCTGTGGTCAGGGAGGGCAGTCCAAGGCTGCAGGGGTGCTTCCCAGCGTCCCGTGCGGAGTCAGTGTCTCAGTGTGGGACGTGGGGCTGAACTCCTCCACCTGCTGCACCGCCCCACTCTGCACATCCAGCAAGGTGGTGTGTGTCTTGGCACATCTCTGTCCTCGTTGGTGCGGTGCTGGGCGCTCTCAGCCGTTTGCAGCTGTGCCGTGCGTGCTGGGTGGGCACACTGCGTGTGCAGCTGTCATCCCAGAACTCTCTTCAGCAGCAAACCTGACCTCTCACTGTCACACTGTAACTCACCTCTCCGCCTCCCCGCCCTGGCAGCCTCGTGGGCACCCTGGTCTGTGAACCTGACCGCTAGAGGGCAGTCGCGCACGGGTTCCCACACTCCGGGGGCTCTTCCTGGTGCACTTCCTGTAGCTTCCTGTGCTTAGGACCCGTCCATGTCGTAGCAGCTGTCAGGATCTGTCACTATGAAAGGAATTACTTATTGAAAGGATGTTTGACCAGGAGAAGGAGAGACAGAGACAGAGGGAGGTCTTCCACCTATTGTCCTTTCCCCGATGGCTGCAGTGGCCTGTGCTGGGCCAGACCAAAGCCAGGGGCCTGGAGCTCCATCCGGGTCTCCCACGCAGGTGCAGGGCCCAAGCACTTGGCCGTCCTCCCCTGCTTTCCCTGCGCATTAGCTGGAAGCTGGATCAGAAGTGGAGCAGCCGGGACTGGAACCAGCGCTGCTATGGCCATGAGTGCCGTGGGCCAAAGCTCCCCTTGCTTGCCGCAGCCCGGGACTTGAGCTGTGAGCAATTCTGGGGGTGCAGGAAGGAATCCACTCATCTCCACTATCACGGTGAAGGCGCAGAGGCCAGAGGCCAGCGGCAGCCTGGACGGCTTCCATTAGCACCGTGGAAGGGGAAGGAGAGAGGTACGCTTCGCTCTTGGCTTTGAAGACTGCGGGTCAGAACAACACAGGCAGCACTTTGCAGAAATGTAGCTCAGAGATGCTAAACTTGTGCCTGCAGCGATGCCACACAGGGGCCCTCCCAGCCGCCAGGAGTAGGACAAAGCCTGTTTGGAGGCCTAGAGACAGACTTTGCTAAACTACTACCCAGCAGAGGCTAAGGATGCCTGTCGTTACTGTTGCACCACTCAGGCGGGGTGGGGTCTTTCCCCACCGGAGCAGAGACAGCCAGAGAAGGCACGAGGGTTTTGCTGCCTGAGATTTCACCCAGGTGTGGGGTGCCCACCTCTGCTGGAAGACTAAGGCTGGAGTACAGATCAGAAAATCAGCAGATGGCAAAAGGTCACAAGTATAAAAGCATGTTCTTGGTAAAAAAAAGAGCTAAATTTTTTTAAATGAAAAAGGACATGGTTTATAAAAATTGTTTTATCTTAATGGCTAATTTAAACTAAAATAATTTTTTAAAAAGGTTTGAGTAAGTTAAAAAAGGTGTAAAAAAAGTCACAGAACATTATGAAAAAACGAAATTTTTGGTTACAAAACTGTTATTCTGTTTCTTTTTTTTTTGTATGGGAAGTCTTTTTATTTATTTATTTTTATTTTATTTTTTTGACAGGCAGAGTGGACAGTGAGAGAGAGAGACAGAGAGAAAGGTCTTCCTTTGCCGTTGGTTCACCCTCCAATGGCCGCCGTAGCTGGCACGCTGCAGCCGGCACACCGCGCTGATCCGATGGCAGGAGCCAGGTGCTTCTCCTGGTCTCCCATGGGGTGCAGGGCCCAAGCACTTGGGCCATCCTCCACTGCACTCCCTGGCCACAGCAGAGAGCTGGCCTGGAAGAGGGGCAACCGGGACAGAATCCGGCGCCCCAACCGGGACTAGAACCCAGTGTGCCGGCGCCGCAAGGTGGAGGATTAGCCTAGTGAGCCGCGGCGCCGGCTGTATTCTGTTTCTTTGACATAAAATTAAAATCTGATCCTCTGTTAAAACAATGAGTTAAAGTAGTATATTGTGTTCTCTTGATGTCTCTGTTAAATTCTAATTCTTTAAAAACAGCTGAGTTTTTTTTTATTAAGACCTACAGGTCATTTAATTATGTACTTGTTTTCAGGCATTTAAATAATCACCTTGTAACAACAATCAAATTTGGTCTATTTTATGTCATCATGTTAAAAATCTTATTTCAACCAGACATTTTGGATTTTGAGCCTTCTTGGAATCCTTGACAATCATTCAAAAAAACAAAAAAAAAGCACAACAAAATTTCAAACATTTAAACTTTGACAATTTACAGATTGGCCCCTGAAAATTGTCAAAGACACATGTCTCTCATCTTGTAGAGACACCAACTAATCAGGCCATTTAGATTATGTTAGAAGCACAGTCAAGATGTAAAGTGGTGCTTAAATTTTAAGTTTTAATAATATAAAATACTTGTTAGGAAACTGGCGCAGTCTTAGCCAGGTGACTGCATGACCCAGCTACCTGAGCCAGGCTCCACCCCCATCCTAATTGGATTCCCTGCTCCTGCTTCCCTGCCTGCCCTCAGGCGAAGTTTTAAAAGGGCCTGTTCCTGCACACTGCTCTTGGCTCTTCTCTCCGGCGCTGTCTTGGTTCTTCTCTCTTGGTTCTTCTCTCTTGGCTCTCCTCTCTGCTCTCCTCTCCCCCTCTCTTCTCTACTCTATCTTCTCTCCTCACTAGCTCCTCTCCTCTGTCTCTCTCTCTTATACTTTCTCTTTTTTTTTTTTTTTTCTTCACCGCCCCTTCACTCCGGTCTGTTGGGTGTTCCCCAATAAACCCTCTCCCTTACTCTGGTGTTCAGTGTGTTTTGTGACGGCTAACATTAATATATAACAATACTACTGCTACAAATGTCTAAAAGTTAAATAGTCTAATGATCTTATATTGCTACACATGATGGTTATCTTAATAAGAAAGCCCTAAAGGCATAAAAGAGTTAAATACTTTGTAAAATCCTACAGGTATCTTTAAAAAATACTGTAAAGTGAACAGGTGCCTCTTGTTAGTTAATGAGTTGGTAATTTTAAACGTGACAACTTAAAGTCTTTTGTCATCCACAGTTTTGCATAAGTTCCAGTGGACTTTTCCCAGCCACCTCTATTGTATTCAGTAATTGGGATGGGTCTGTAAACAGATAAGGCAATAATGTATTACAGGTACCAACTTAAAAAAGTATGGTTAACTGAGGTTACTAAGAGCAAAAAAATAATTTAAATCTATTGGTAATTTACAAAAAGGAGTTAAAATTTTAAAAGGCTATTACTGAAACTGCTTTATTGTTCCATCTTGTATGTTATGTTATATGTGTATACATATTGTATGTCTACATGGAAAAATTTACTAAGAGCTTTATTTTAATTGACTTATGGATAAAAGATTGTTCATAAATTTAAACTGCCAAAATTAATCAAAGATACATTTTAATTAATATGACCTAAATCTCTGTATTAGATGTTTTAAATCTGTTGGTAAAAAGAAACTAAAATTAAAATAAAAATAAAAAATAAAAAAATAAATTTCAGCAAAAAAGAAAAAAGAAACTAAAATTGTTTTTATATGTTTGTGCTTGAGTTTTCTGGTTAAACAAGCTACACCATGTTAAATATTTAAGAAATGTTTCTAAATGCATGCATTCTTAAAATTTATAGAAGGCATGAGGCCTTCTAGTAAATGTTTTCCTAAGTTGTTATCTAATGGTTAAAATTACTTACTAGGTTTTCATTTGATATTGCTATTATCAGCAAACAATCTATGGCTCCTCGGCCTTTTGGCTAAGATCAAGTGTGTGCAGCAAACAATCCGGGACTTGCTCCCTCATTTCTCTATTCTCCTCGAAGCAGGAAACTAATTTTATTCTGAAAAACTCTGTAGATGTACAGTTTAATTTTTTAAAATCTTATAAAAATGACTAACTTTTTTGTAATAATGGTATAGCCAAAAGGAGAGTTTAAATTATATTTTCACAGCTAGGCTTACTTCGCCATGGGCACAGTAAATAGGCAAAACCTCCATTTCAGACAAACAAGCAACAATAAAGTTTAAAGTGAGGACATAGCTTTCCTCACGGGCATTGTCTGCCCCAAAATAAAGACTATCAGAACATGCCTGTGACTATAGACTTCTAGTTTAGGCCACAAAGATTAGAGATGGGACTTAAACATCCCCTTGACTTACATCCTCTGGTCTGCTTTAACAAAAACCAGGAGGAAAAAAAAAGCTAGGCATCAGAAGCAATGTAAAGACAGGGGCAGGCCCTTTGATGGCTGGTCTGTACAGTGATCTGCCATCAAGGAGACCCAACAGGACAGTCCACTGCATTGGTTTTCGATGTGGAAAATCAGGGCTTCAGCAGAAATCAGCTTATAAAGAGCCCTGGCAGCTCTGCCAGCCAAGAGTTGGATCACTGGAAATGGACCTGCCCTGGAGTCCAAGGACGCCCAGGTCAGAGCCACAGATCCTGTTGGCTCTAAGCCAAAAAACTCTTTACTCAGCCCAGCCTCCAAAGTAACCACCGCTGCAGAGGGGACGGCTAAGTGGGGTCAGCAGCACTGCAGACAGGACTGTAAATTTCCTGTTTAAAAAAATGCCACCTGCCTTTACCTGGCCAGCTCTCCTCCCAGACCAGCTGGGTAATGGAAATCATCAGGGGGCCTTCCCAAGGAGTTCACACCTCTCTTAAAATGTACCCCATGTAAAAGGATAAATAGGTCTGGGCCTCATAGCTAACAAGGCCTTAAAGCCCACCAGATCATTATCAGGCCCCTTCTGTCAGTTTCTATTTGGCTTAGGCAGCACCTTTCTGTCCTTTGTTCTAGACCCTGATCTCATACTAGCGCCTAGACGAGCAGGCCATTAAAGTGGGTAAAAGGGGACCACGATTGGCCCCAATAGTAGAAGGGGGGAATGAGAGACCTCAGCCTGGGTCAAGGTGCAGCTATTGTAGACTAGGCCTCCATCTTGTAACTCGGGTCTGACCAGGCCCTGAACTCTAAGCCAAAAACTCCTAAAAGAAGAAAAATAAGCTCCCCTTGCAATAAAGTCCCCTAGCAACAGCCAATCAGCATATAGGAGGGAAACACCTAAAGTTCCAGGTGTCCTATCAGGCAGTTAGGGTGACACATCCCCAAACCCTTGCAGTTTGGCATGGACACCGTAGCAGCTCGGACCCTATACTTTAGTCAATCATAGAACAACAACTATAAATTTAAAATATGAGCCTATCAGATGCTGTATAGCTGAACTTGTTTGTTAAACTCTATAAAAACCCCAACAATCTTACTTCAGGGCCGCCAATCCAGCCCAGCTGCGCCTGGTGTGGACGTCGGACCAAACTCGATTTTGAAGTAAAACTCTTGCGTTTGCATCAGCCCCTGCTCCTGGTGGTCTCAACTGGTGGGAATCGGACGTTCCAAGTATAACATGAGAGCAACCCAACTGACCTAAGGACCTCCCGCAGGGTCCCACCAGAGAGGGTCTCCCTGCCTCCCCACACTGCCATCAGGGACCACGCCAACCCCCTGCCCGTTGGGGACAAACCACATCCAAACCCTGGTGGGTGGAGGAAACATCCCGGGGGACAGCAGGCCGGAGGTGGCCACAGGAAGGAAGGACCTCGGGCCACCAAGTGCCCCGTCAGGGCAACCTGCCCATTCTGTGACGCCGAGGCTCAGTGGCCATGGCTGGCTGCAGGCCCAGGGATTCGGGTTCCCAGGGAGCAGCTCCCACAGGAGAGGTCTGGTGGAGCGGCCCCAGAGGCATCACCGAGGACAGGGAGCCCGGGCCTGACTGTGCATGGCTGTGTGAGCGGCTGTGTGAGGGCCGTGTGAGCCGGGCTGTGCGTGGGAGAGCTGTGTGTGTCTGCAGTCAAGCGAGAGGCGCTGGGTATGTGGGGCAGCTCAACCCCTTCTGCTGGCCACCCTAGACCTCCGATTGCTGGGACCTGGCCCTACAGGCAGGTATGGATGCCATATGAGAGATGAGGGCAGAGCAAGCCTGTATTCTGCATAGAGTAGAGGCCTGCTCTCGCCAGGTCCCACACCCCCACTGTGGTGAAATGAGAATGTTATGCCAAGATGGTGCTGACGAGCAAGTGTCACTACTCAGGAAATGGCAGCAAAACCTACCTGGCAAAGAAGCCTGCCTGGCAACAGGCTGAGATTGGATGGGGCATAAACTGCCCCTTGACCGGATTGGCTGCCTTGGCTATATAAGCAGCTGCACCAACTGAAATAAACGAGTCTTTGAGATGCTCACCTCTGGCCCACTTTCACCCAACTCCTGGTGTCTGTGTCGTGACTCTGCTCCTCTTGCCCCCACCATGCTCCTCCTCTCAGAACGAATCCACAGCAACATCTGGCACCCAATGTGGCTGAAAGAGAGACAGCATGATGGACTCGGCGAGGTCCCCCTTGATTTCAGCAAGTAGGCCCCTCACTGTTTTGTGTGCTGTTCAGTTCTGTGAGGGGGAGCACAGAACCCCCTCCTATGCCCCTTTCCTTGTCCTTGTCCTCGGTCGAAGTGACCCCAGGTTAGGCACACACCACCCAGAAGCGTAACACCGCTTCTCGGCTCCTTTTACTTTCGGTTCGTTGGCGAATTCCCATAAGGGACTGATCATCCCAGATTTCGGAACTAAGTTATCTTCCCTCACTTGAGAGAAGTGATACTCAGAGACACCGTGTAGGCATTCGGCCTTGACCTAATGAATCAAGGAAGTCCCCCACTAAGCACAGGACATACTTATGATCTGACACACCGCTGTCTGTTCATCTAACGTAGGGAACACCTGCAGAATGCCATCAGCTGCTGAGGTGCTAAACATTGGTTTTGTTATGGTAGCAGTGCTGTGGGTATCTTTCCTTTGGCTAGAGTTGGCGTGGCATGCCGCTCTTAAGCACTCAAACATGGGATACATACCACCTGTCAGAAGACCACACAGATTACCAAACATAATGAATCTGTGAGTGAAAAGAGCCTGTCACTCCAGGCCACTGCCTCACAGGCAACAGTTGATGACTTAGGGAGAGAGAGCTCTGACAGTGAAAATGATATGACAGCAGACAATGCAGCAATGCCTGGTCAGCCACCCCCCAAATACCCGTGGTTGAACTTAGACGACCTCGAGGTAATAACCCATGCGAGGTCATCCCATCCACACCAAGTGAGGATCCCCACATTTGTGGCCGTCTCCAGGCACCACAGGCTCTCAGGGCAGCTGCTAGACCCCATCCCACCCGCATGTTTGCCGTTAATGTAGGAGTGGACGCAAAATTCAGGTCCTGGATTCCAACACTCGTAAAAAGGCTTCTGCTAACCAAGGGCCAACGATATGCTTGTGTCTTTCCAGAGGATGCGGGACAGCCCATTTGGGTAGCAGCCAGAAACATCAAGCCTGCAACAGCCAACCAGAACCAGCTGAACAAGACTGAGAGTCCACCTTGTTAGCAGACGCACCTGCCCTATCATCCTGCCCTGAGGATGTGGCCCACAGCCACATCCGTTACTGTTTATACCCCACTAGCTCTGTCAGCCAATCGAACAGCCTGTGTGCGGTCACGCCATTCCTGATTACCGTTGTTCTTCATTCCTACCCCCATCTGAGCAAGCACTCCTGTGGTCTCCCATTTTGAGGGCTGGTTAGTCAACGACAGGTAAGATCCCCTGGCGGACAACCACATGAGGAGACCACATGGAAACAGAGTCAACAGTGGTATGGCCAAGGATCATGCCTCCCATTGCTCAAAAATAAACAAAAAGGGGGAAATGTGGAGGAATGAGAAGGCCATGCCAAGATGGCCGCTGGCAAGCGAGTGTCAGTTATTCAGGGATGGCTTTGGAACCCACCTGGCAAAAGAGCCTGCCTGGCAACAGGCAGTGATTGGTTAGGGCATAAACCGCCCCTTGACCGTATTGGCTGCCTCAGCTATATAAGCTGCGGTACCAGCTGAAATAAACAAGTAGTGGACTGCTCGCCTCTAGCTCCCTTTCACTCAACTCCCGGTGTCTGTGTGGTGAATCAGCACCTATTGCCCCCACCGTGCTTCTTCTCAGAACGCATTGACAGCAGCACCACGCCAGGGGTACGCCCATGAGGAGGACAGGAGGGGCAAGGACCTCTGTGGCTGCCTGAGAACCTGACCACACTGGCCACTGCGTGCAACCTGAAAAAACATGGACAACACAGCAGTTGGCTCCCTTATTAAAGAAACGGTCTGCACCTGGGAGCACAGAGGGTGTTCTTAGAGCATCCTGCCTGGTCCCTAGTGCCTTGGGAACCAGGGGCAGCAGCTGTGACCAGAGGAGCCAGTGATCAACAGGACAGCCATGGGGCTCCTGATGGGAGACATCTTGGTGTCCCTGACCATGGCCGTGGCCATCTTCCTGCTTCTGGTGGACCTGATGCACCTGCACCAGCGCTGGGCCGCACGCTACCCACCAGGCCCCATGGCACTGCCAGGCCTGGGCAACCTGCTGCAGGTGGACTTCCAGGACCCTCGGAGGAGTTTCCACCAGGTGAGAGAGGGGTGGTGTAGGCAGAGAGGACCTGGGCTCCATGCAGCAGACAGTGGGGGGGGGTGACCCCAGGGGGGACAAGAGCAGGGTGAGGAGGGGAGGTGGGAGGGGCGTCCTGTGGGGAAGCACTGTACAGGCTAGAAGACACTGGGGACCCTGCTGGTGGGGTGGCCTGCGTAGCAGGTGTGGGTGCAGGTCGACCGCCCACAGGATCTGTAGACCCCAAGCCCCTTTTGGTTTCATCAGAGGGACAGGTCTTGGAGGTGGGCAGCAGGGTCAGGTTCAAAACAAGAGACAGGCGTGCAGAAAGGTGCAGGGACGTGGGTCACATCTTTTGCCCCCGTGGGGCCAGGGCTCGGCTCTGTGTGTGAACCTTGGCTTCTTCCTCTGTAAGCTGGGTGTTGAGGGCAGCTGCCCACCGTTCCAGTGGCCCTTGCATGGTCCCGGCCAGGGTCAGACGCTCCAGGAGGAGTGGAGAGTGCAGATCTGTTTGCCTTGGCTCCTACTGGGGGTTCTGGGGCCCCCAGGCTTGTGTGGTGACAGTGGTGGACAGGCAGTGGCGGGAGGCCCTGGCGTGACCAGTGCCCTGACCCTGGCTCTGCAGCTGCGGTGCCGCTACGGGGACGTGTTCAGCCTGCAGCTGGCCTGGACGCCGGCGGTCGTGCTCAACGGGCTGGCAGCCGTGCGCAAGGCGCTGGTGACCTGCAGCGAGGACACTGTGGACCGCCCGCCCATGCCCATTTTCAGCCACCGGGGCTTCACGCCACGCTCCCAAGGCAAGGAGCAGTGGGAAATGAGGTCTGGGGGAGCAGAGGGGAGGATGACTGGTCAGGACAAGTGATAACGGGGCGGTGACCTGGATGTGAGGCAAGGAAGAGCCCAATGACAGCCCAGGAATGGAGGCTGGAGAAGGAACCAGTGTGGCCCTAGGCGACCAAGAGATTTGCTGGGGAGGGCACCCTTCTCAGGGAATATGAAGGAGACATGGACAGGGGCGTGGCAAGACCAACTGACCATGTCGACAACACCGCCCCACCTCTAGGAGTGGTCTTTGCCCGCTACGGCCCTGCGTGGCGCGAGCAGCGCCGCTTCTCCGTGTCCACGCTGCGCAACTTCGGCCTGGGCAAGAAGTCGCTGGAGCAGTGGGTGACTGGGGAGGCCGCCTGCCTCTGCGCTGCCTTCGCCGACCACGCTGGTGGGTGACGGGCCGAGGCATGCAGGCGGGCAAGGGACGGGGAGCCAGGGGCGACCCCCTGACCGTACCTCAATCCGCAGGACGCCCCTTTAGCCCCAACGCGCTGCTGAACAAAGCCGTGGGCAACGTGATCGCCTCGCTCACCTTTGGTCGCCGCTTCGAGTACGATGACCCGCACTTCGTCAGGCTGCTGGACCTGACCAAGACCTTGCTCGAGAAGAAAAAGGTCTTCCTGCCCTCGATGCGGGCTCAGACACTGAGGGTGAGGATTTGCCTCCATGGGGGTGGGGCAGGGCCTTCCTGGAGCGGCCACTGTGAGAGCAAAGACGTGGAGCTGGGACATCCCAGACCCCAGCATGGGCAGGCCCCAAAAAAGCCCCCACACAAGGGTGAGGGAGCCGCGCGTCCTGTGGGCCTTGGGAGCCACGCAGCACAGCATTGGTGGACTTTATCTGTGTTCTTCCACATCCCAGAAGAGCAGGGGCAGAGCAGATCACTGGGTCCACCTGGAGGGGGCTAGTCCAGGTGAGCCCCGAGCACAGGAAGATCCCACCCTCCTCTGAGCAGGTGCTGAACGTGGTCCCCGTGCTCCTGCGCATCCCGGGCTTGGTGGACAAGGTCTTCTCTGAGAACAAGGAATTTTGGGGCCTGGTGGATGAGCTAGTGACCGAGCACAGGATAACACGGGACCCCACCCAGCCACCCCGAGACATGACGGACACCTACCTGGCCGAGGTGGAGAAGGTGAGAAGATGAATGGAAGGGCGAGGGCAGGGACGGTGAGGCCCCGCGTGTCCTGGGGGTACCTGGGTGCCGCACAACAGTCTAGAACTCGGGCTGCCAAGTAGAGAAAATGTGGTCATTTGGGACCTCCTCCCTCTGCCCCTGAGCCCACGCTCTCTCCCCACCCAGGCCAAGGGGAACCCTGACAGCAGCTTCAGTGATGAGAACCTCTACTCGGTGATTGGTGAACTGTTTATCGCGGGGACGGTGTCCACGTCGGCCACACTGGTCTGGGCACTCCTGCTCATGATCCTGCACCCGGAAGTGCAGCGTGAGCCAGCTGGGGGCAGCTGTGGAGGGTGGGGCTGGGTGAGGGAAGAGCAGGCAGTCCCCTGAGCCACACCTGTGGCCCCAAGCACTGGTTGGCTCTGCCTCCTGTGACCTCCTTGTATGTGGGCACAGGCACAGCACAGGAGGCAGCAGAGTCTGTGCTCAGCTCAAAGGGAACTGACTTGCTATGGGGACGCTTGTCTGTCCAGGCCGTGTCCAACAGGAGATAGATGAGGTCATAGGCCCGGCGCAGCAACCAGAGATGGGGGACCAGGCACGCATGCCCTACACCACTGCCGTGCTTCACGAGGTGCAGCGCTTCGCAGACATCGGCCCACTGGGCACATCACACATGACATCACGGGACACTAAAGTGCAGGGCTTCCTCATCCCCAAGGTAGGCCGGGCCCCCTCATCCCGGCTCAGCACCCTTGCCCACTGGTGGCCCCAGCACGTCCTCCTACAGTGAGTGGATGGAGCCCAGGCCACCCAGCCCTCCATGCCCCAGGCACTGATCAACCAAGCCTGGGTTGGGTGGGTGCAGGGCAGAGCCAGGACCCTTGTGTCCACACAGAGCCTCGGGAGCATGGGGAAGACAAACTAAGATGTGCCACCACATGTCCTAGGAAGTGCCTGCAGGGACAGGCAGCATCAGGGGTGCCATGGCTGGTGTCACACTTGGCTCTGACGTGGCTGAGCAGTACTTGGGCTGAGGGCTCCTTGAAAGAGTCCAGGTGGGTGCAGGTCAGGCCTGGGCCCTGAGAATGGGGTAGGGTCTGGAGTCCTCCCAGCCCAGGCCCCTCTCAGGACAGAAATCCTCTGCCCAGGGCACAGTGCTGTTCACCAACCTGTCATCGGTGCTGAAGGACGAGGCCGTCTGGGAGAAGCCCTTCCGCTTCCACCCGGGACACTTCCTGGACGCCCAGGGCCGCTTCGTGAAGCAAGAGGCCTTCATGCCTTTCTCCGCAGGTGCATGGGGTGCCCGGCTCCTGGCCCTGGCCCTGGGGACAGTGGGAGGATGCAGCCCAGGCTCACTGAGCCCCTGACCCCCCACAGGCCGCCGCGCGTGCCTTGGGGAGCCCCTGGCCCGCATGGAGCTCTTCCTCTTCTTCACCTGCCTGCTGCAGCGCTTCAGCTTCTCGGTGCCCGCGGGACAGCCCCGGCCCAGCGACCAAGGGGCCCCTGCTTCACTGGTGACCCCGGCCCCCTACCAGCTGTGTGCTGTGGCCCGCTAGTGGGGGTTCTGAGTCCCCAGCCCACCCCCAGCAGGGCCCTGATGCACAATAAAGCAGTCTCCTGGCTCCCCTGTGGTTTCTGAGTCCACCCTTGGCCCCTGGTGAGCCCCCGATGTCATGGGTGCTCAGCCACCTGCCTGAGGCTGCCCCCACCCCTGCCTCATCTGCCTTACCTGTCTTCTGGATGCATCTCAGACCTGGGGGCCTGATGCTCATAGAGGACAGCTTGCCACGTCCCCCATTGGCCGCACTCTGGATGTGTGTTGGTGACCAAGGTCGTGCAGCAATCTTGGCTCTGGGTCTGGGGAGCAGATGCAGCATGCATGGGCGATGTGGGGCGTCAGCCTCGGCCCTGGCTGGAGAGAGTGTGGGGTCCCCAGACCTCCCTCAGGCTCTGTGATTTGCTAGAAGCCCTCCCAGAACTAGGAATGCCGTCGTCCTGACCATTGTAGATTATTCCATCCAAAGGACACAGATGGAAGTCAGCAAGACTTAAAAGGCACATGGGCCCACACTTACCAAGACCAGATATTTGCCTCCAGCCAATCGCTCCAAGGGACTCATCCAGACAGAGCCTAGTGCTCCCAGCAGTTATGTTGACAGGTGTAGAGAGGCTGGGAGCCAGGGCAGCTCCCCTGGGCCTGCTGTCCAGGGTTTTGTTGGGGGTCAGTCATGTGGACGCGAGCCCCCATGTGACTGTTGTCAGTTACCCAGGCCTCAGCAACCCACTACAGAGGTCAAATGCTACAGCCCCGGGCCCCAAATAAGCAACATGGTAGGCATCAACTCTGGTGTGGGCAAGGCTGCAGGCATGGGAGGGCCCTGTGGTTGGGAGGGGCAGTCCAAGGCCACAGGGGTGTTTCCTGAAGCCTGTGCAGGGTCACTAAAGTGAGCGGTTCAACTCCCCCATCTGATAGGTACTTTTACTGCTCAGGCCACCCCTACAGCTCTTACTCAACGTGTCACGTGTCTGTGTTTGTTAGGGAGTGAGACACACAATCTGAAATTACTCAGGGCGGGCTTACCACACTGTTAGTGTGCAGCTGGCACAGCTGTCATCACAACTCTCATTGGTTGAAAATGGACTTATCAAACATCAGTTCCTTTCCACCCCGGGGCAGCCTCCATGCTGCGTTCTGGTCTGTCTCGAACCTCACCACTAGAGGGCAGTCATGCGCAGGGACTTCTACTCCAATGGACTGGGCTCTGAGGCCTTCCTAAAGAAGCATCCACGTTAGCAGCTGTCAGTACTGCTGTCATCTTTAATAAAGATTTACTTAGTGCGCTTTCCAGCTGAGCGATTTCTGTCTGGTTTGTAAGAATTACGTCCAGGGGCTGGCGTTGTGGCACAGTGGGTCAGGCGGCCACTTGCGATGCCAGCGTCCCATAATGAAGTGCAGTTTCAAGCCCAGACTTAGGCATCTGCTCCAACTTCCTGCTGATGTGCCTGGGAAGGCAGTGGAAGAAGACAGCACAGCTACCTGGGCCCTGCCACTCTCCTGGGAGACCTGGGTGGAGGTCCTGCGTCCATATTTGGCCTGGCCAGACCAG